AATCTTGTTCCTGCACATGTCCAGTTTCATGTTGTGTGTATTAGTTCTCCCCTGTGAGGTATGTCGGCACCTAGGATACTGATCAGGAAAGGCATCAGGAAGTAGCCACTCCAGCGTCACAACCCCTCATAAGTGAGGGTTCCCGGACCTACCCCACAGTAAAGCAGCTGTATCAGTGCAGGATGCCACATAACTGTTGTTAATGTTCATGAGCTGCTCGCTGGTAGGTTTGAGAATTCCCTTAAATGACAACATAAATTTACCTCACTTGGAGAATTAGGTGTTTATAGTCTATGTGGCTTATCGATGAATTAATTTGTAGACATGGTGATGCTTCCTGTGTTTAGTGATGAGACAAGGAGTCAGGCAACATCAGAATGTGTTGCCAGGAGTAACCTAGTATATGCCTTGCATTGCAAATCAAAACACCTTGCTTTAAAATCGAACCAGCCTTATTTATTAGAAGTTTGTCCCCGCCCACTTGACTACGAAACACCCTAGTTTACATTAGTTTATTGTTTGCAAGCACCTGCAGTCAAAGTAAATCAGTGTTGCTTCTGTCTCTACTGGAAATACACCGTATGCTTGGCCTGTGTGCATACAAAACATGCTCTCATACAGTCTTTGACAGGTAATGTACACATCTTCTCTGTGTTTTTTCTGTACATAGTCTCATACAGTGCTTGCCCGTCATAGAGTGAGTTGGGCTTTACGATGCTTTTAACAATATTCCAGCAATATCACGGCAGGGGACACCAGAAATGGGCTTCACACATTGTACACGTGGGGAATCGAACCCAGGTCTTCAGCGTGACAAGCGAATGCCTTAACCACTAGGCTTCCCCACTGCCCCTGCCTGCCATAGCTATGTATTTATGTATGTATTTGAATTTCGGAATTCAAAGTTAGAATTGGTCTTCACCAACTGATGGGATCAGGTTTCAGGCTTGTTGACTTGGTTGATGCATACCATTGTATCCCAGTTGTGTAGATTAATGTTCATGATATCAGTCACGGTTTACAGACCGCCATCATATAGCTGGAATGTTGCTGAGTGTGGCATTAAACAACAAACAAACAAATCCATTGATAGGAATGAATCCAAAACAAGGCAGTTGGTTTATACAAGGAAAGAGGGGGTGAAAATCTAATGATCAATTGATTGTGGCCTCAGCAGAATGTTTCGCCTGTTTGGTAATTCAGTAGAATATGTATCAGACATGCTTCCACATTCCTTATGGTCAGTAGCTAGGAATGTTATGGATTATGGACAGAATACAAAGTCAGTATATATGATATAGCTGTGCATCGGAAATATGAAAGAGTAATGATATACTCCGAAACATTGTATTCATCATAATAAACAAGCTGACATTATCAAAACTCTCTTCTTTATATGTATCACTTCTAAACACCATACAAAAACCTGATGTTGCATGGAGTTCTCTTGAAATTTGTCCATTCAACTTTATACCATACCAATCTTTGGCCTCTGAATGAACATGCACACAAGCAGGAAACGGTACTTTTACTTGGGTAATATTTCCAAATGTTATCATATCTTTACCAGAAATTCTTTTTGCAGTGCGTGCATTTTCGCATTTTGGGCATTTGATAACAATATTACTGCATTCCAAGGACGGGCACAAAACATGCTGTTGATCCGAAACAGGAACCATTACATGGTCTCTCAGTCATGAGGACATTTCAACACTAATGCTTTCAACACTCTCTTTCTGGATACCACAGATAAGGGCACAAGGGAGTCAAAGACAGATAAGCCACTGACAGACACCCCTCACACAAACTCATGAGGAAACGCAGACAGGCTTAGAGACAGTCAGACAGTGAGACTGATGGACAGTGACTGACAGTGGTCTGCCCAAACTTGATTTATGCTGGGTCGACATATGTTAACATATGTTATTTTCAGTGTCATTGTGTTAATTATGAAATGCACAAACCATCACACGAATATTGACGAGCTTGACATGCTGGTGTAACATTATATAGAATGACATTACTACATATTGAGAATATTTCTGGAGACATACTTACAATGTGGAGGTCAGTTCATGAAGCAGGTGCTTGTGTTGGGTATTTTCTTATCAAGTAAGTGAATATGTCCTGTTTTTTTGTGCTTCATTCACTATTGTTTCAGTGAATAGATAAACTGAGTTGAAGTAGATTTAAGTAGGTCATGTGAATGTGGAGTGGATCTAGTTTTGACATGTTCAGAAATGTGTCATAAAAAATTACTGTTGCCGAATTTTAAATGTAAACAGTCATATCTCAAGACAGCAAATATAAACACTCATATACTACTCAAGAGAACACCAAATCTCGTCACATGATCATAGTTAATCTATCATGCCATGAACTTATCATAGAGAAAACATTGTGTGTTCTTCTTGTGTAATAAATATGGGTTTGGTGTTATTCTTCTGATAAACTTAAACAGTTGCTTTGTTTGATTGTGGAGTCACAACAACTTATGGCTTAGACAAAAATCAGCCAGGGAATCATTAAGTTCAATTTTGTAATTTTAATTAGGCTTTCTTGTCACACCTCATTTGGACTCTGCTTCAATCAGTCTCCATTCTAAAATGAAAACCATTCCAATAGTAATTCGAAAAGAATTCTTCAGTGTTACAGAGTTCATGCAGCTGTCGTAGAGAAACATAAATCTGTTTGATGTGTGTAATTTTCAAGTAGGGTCAGTCTACTTGCCATTCATGACCCAGTTCACCCCATCAGTAGGCTGAAACACAATGTCCCTGCCCTTGGCAAAATACATTCAGAGAAAAATTCATCACGTCCCAGCCAATTGCATGCTGCAGTTGCTTTAAGACACCATGGTTAAGGGGGTAAATATTTGTCCTGCCTCTGAAAAGGGAGTTGAAAGGAATTGATGCCCTTATCGTGTTTGTGTGCTCTTATTACACTCGACTAAAGTGTGAGTATTTTTATAGTTTTGTTACATTAGTCCAGAACAGTTTAGGTGGTTCTGTTTTAGCCTACACAGATACTAAAGTAGTACAAAGTATTTGTGATTCAAGATGATATTTTGATTATCATTTTTCTGAAGTTACTGTGAAGAATATGGTATTATAGGTAAGTCCATGGTCTTTAGGATAACAAATGTCGGTGAATTGTATTTTCTCATCTTTAAGATCGCAGTCACAATACCACTGATAGGAAAACCATAATTATTTCATGAGGCTTTTAGCTTTAATTTTTGCACTGCAAGGCCAAGTTCATATCATTGACTGCCATATGGCTGGAATATTGCTGAGTGCAGTGTAAAACTAAACTCACTCACTCACTCACTTATATCATTGATATCTTTTTTGATAAATGCTTAATTATACTAAAAAAACCAAGGTCCCATTCCATAATTATGTGTTCATTGCCCAAAAAATTATTAAAGCACAGAATATAAGGTTTTTTAATTGAATTAACTTAAAAAAAGAAATTCCTATAATGGATACAAAATGTTGAATTATCCCATCCCATCCCATCATATCATATCTACGTATCCCATCTTTGTAAATACAAACAGTTTTTATATTAAAGTAAGGCCAGACGAACTAGACTACTGTTATTCTTTTTCCATTTATGTACACATGTGCTTTAAGAAACCCTCCTGAATCGTATACACAACCTGGGATGGGTTACGAGTTTCCACCTGAGCTGCTGCCAGGTATCTGACCTATTGACAAACAGGTCAAACGAGTGTTAAAAAAACACTGTCCACGACTGGCGTGTGCCTGTACATATCTCCTTGTGTCGGCATTGACTTTCCAGCCTGGACAGGCTTGACTGGCCTGCCACAGTGGGATATCTCAGTGTTATATGGCCCGTGGAAGAAAGGGCCTTTGTCATTGTTCCTCATGCCAGGAATTATTTTGAATAAATTAACTCTACAGGATGCTGAAAGGGGGTACTATGTTGTAGATTATTATCATTCATTTTTTTTTTTACAAAATTGTTTTTATAGATCTTGCTGTCTCTAAAACAACTTTGAGTTTAAGAATCTAAATAAAAGAAATTATGCAGTGTAGAAAATTTAGAGGGGTTGCTTTCCTAGAGGTATCTGTCCAGCAGTGCAGTGAAACATCAATACAAGTTTGTGGGGTGTTCTGAACTTGCCTCTACACAACAGGGACATCAGGGTAGCCTAGTGGTTAAAGCGTTCGCACACTGTTAGACCCGGTTTTCGATTACCCACACGGGTAAATTGTGTGAAGCCCATTTCTGGTGTCCCCAGCCGTGATGTTGCTGGAATATAGCTTAAAGCGGCCTAATGCCATACTCACTCACTCTCTACAAAACTAACTGTGAAGTTTCTTTGTTAGTTTATCCCTGCAATATTCCAGCTATCTAATGGCTGCTTGTAGTACATCCAGACCAGTGAGTGATATTATGAACAACATCCAATACCATTGTCATGGCCAAGTCACCAAGCCTTACCAACAGATACATTCTGTTACCCAGGCAACAACCATTGGTTACTGGGGACCTTAGCATGGCAGTAGTTAAAATCCTGGACTTTCACAGAGGAGACTACTGAGGCACTCTTGCCTCAATAACTGAAGCATATCTGGTTCTTTAGTTCTACCTGATGATGGGGCCAGAACAAGCCCTGAAATGTTGCACCAAACAATAAAAAGATGAAACCCAGAAAATTCTCTATGTTCATCAAATAGCATCTTCTAAAATGCCAATCAAACATCTAATATCTGGAACAGTGTCACTACTTGTTGCAGTTTAACATGGAAATATCAGAAGCACCATGTGAACAACGTCCCTGGTTGTAGAATTATTGCAGAAGCATTACCAAAACCACATTGCATGTTGTTTCACTGCCACAACACTGTCTTTCTTGAAGCATTACCAGAAACAACTCTTGTTGTGTAATAGCAGGACAATTGTTTGTAGCTCTAGATGACGATGTTGCTGTTATTCAGTGTTTGAGATGATGTTGTTTGCTGTTACAGCTGAGTCCCAGGTAAGGAGAGAGGATGCCAGGTAAACAGGGGATCTGTTGGTGTCTGGGGGGGAGCCGGCCCCCAGAGATCAAGTGTGTGGACTATGACTCTCCTCCCAAACCCCTCGCTTTGGATATACCTATGCCGACAGATGAAGCAGAACTTAATGCAAAATTCGAGGAGCTTGTGGTGAGTGTCAAGTGCCAATTGCCTGTTATGATGTTTATATATTGTTGACTCAGCATTATATAATAGTGATCCATTTTAGTCATTTTTCCCAATAGTTGATTGCAGTGGAAGCTTCCTTGTAATACTGCTTATGAATATTGATTTATATCCCATTATGATATGAAACTTGCTTATATATCCAAATGTATGTAGTATCAAATATTTTTGTCAAACACTTCCTTTCTCCTGCCAAAGTATCTCATTATGAAAAGACTTGTTTCATTTCTTCATTATTTGACATAATATGTATTTTTGTCAGTCAAAGCAGATACCTCATTAAGATTGGACTTTTTACTCTGAAGATCAGAATAAATCTGAGCAAACTTGGACCGTACAGTTTATGTGAAGATTGGTCCTTGAGGGACTTAGTTGTCAGCTTTTTAAAATGGATTTGACTTAATCTCTTTAACACTTAGATTTAGACATTTTGACTTGTAGCAAAAACACAAATACTCCTTTGCTGCTATGTCCTTTTGGATGTAGATGAACACATGTAGTTGCTTTACTTATGTGGCTCCCGCTGAGAATTTGGAAACACAACTGATTGGCTGATTACAAAGTTCACCTGACTTTCCCCTGTTGATATGCAGATCCTCATGCACAGAGATATTGTATCAGAGTAAAAGATTTGATAAGAATGAGATTAAACACAAACCAGAGTAACTTCAAAATTAGGGGAGATAACTCTCACCTGTCATCCCACAGGCGGAACTGGATCTGGACAAGGCTCATCGAGATGCCATGTACAATCTCCCACCAGAGAAGAAATGGCAGATTTACTGCAGCAGGAAAAAGGTCAGTGAAAATGGGATATGTTTGTTTACAACTGGATACACCAATGCTTCTCACATGCTGAGACACCTGATTACCGCCATTGCCATTGTGTCTGGGCGGTGGACCATGTAGTCGGGAAGACAGTGGCATTGTCCTTGGGAATCCTTCAGAACCTGGTAATGGATCGTGTCATGATGCTTTATGAAATGTGTTACATGAGGATATACAACCACAACAGTGTCACAGAAACTTGTATCTTGACAATCTCTTGATACTTCAGATTTGTTCATGATATGATACATATCAACAGATAAACTCCTGGGCCCCGTTTCACAAATAGCTAAGTAAATGTTAATGTATGGCACTTACGACTATCTTAAGTAAGTCAGTGTTACAGTGTAGGAACTATCGTAACGTCATGCTACAGTGTAGAAAAGTTAAGAGAAAAGTTCATAGATCATAGGCTTATGAGAACTTTGTGAAACGGGGCCCTGAGTGGCATGAAAATACTCTCATTGTGAGAAAAAAAGAAACAAGAAGAGTTTATTCATTTCCCCAAATTACCCCTTGTCAAATTACATGTTCTTTAAGACATCATTACTGAAGCAATGAAATAGAAGACTTCAACTGATGGTGTCTGTTCTTTTCTGAAGGCCAACTTATGTGTAGGTAGTAAAGACGGTTTGTAAAATGCCATATATTTACACAGAATAAATTGTATCATATGTCTACAATATGATGCAAACGGAGCTTAATTTAAAAATCTATACTTGCCAAATCATTCTCTACCTGAGTTGCATTTGGTCTTAACATTTCCTGAGGGGTCACCGCCGTGATATTGATGGAATATTGCTAAAAGCGGCGTAAAACTAAACTCAGTCAGTCAGTCCTGAGGGGTCAGAGAGAGACAAGAGTGTCGTTCCTCCTGTGATAAGAAAAGAATGGTTTGAGTAGCCTTGTGGTTAAAGTGTGTGCTTGTCATGCCAAAGGCATGGGTTTAATTCTCGCTTCCATTTCAGTTCATGTTTCGTATGTCCCCTGCAGTGATATCGCTGGAATAATGCTAAAAGTGGCATAACAACCAACTCACTTACTATAATGAGAAGATTACAGGGAGGAGATCCACAAAGTGTTCATAATGTGGATTAGGACCCAGAAGAAAGGAAACACTGTTTAATTGGAAAAGCCCCTTCCTTACTTACCTGCAGGCATTGTTAAGACCACTGAGATTTTGTCATTTATAAGCCATTGGCATTCAACGTTTGTTGAGATGGCTAATTAAGATGGATGTCCTCAATCAATTAGCTTGATAACCTTCCCAAGCAAGACTTCCTCCTTAATCCCACAACATAGGACTCTAAAGTTCAGACCACTATATGTATCAGTTATGATGTAGAATATGCCATTTGTTCTATAAAACAGGTGAAATGGAAAAATATTGAAGCATTAACATTTTGGGATTTTCCCAATAACAGACAACCTTGAGAATGTTGTGTCCCCAGGAAACATATCCATGACGTATGACAATCTCATGCATGAAATGATTAAGCCGACCAACCCCATAATAATCATGATAAATTAACTACTTTTAGTAAGCTCTGAACAGTTGCTGGGTTTGCTCACTCAAAACCTTGCATAACTTTTGCAAATAATTAGAATGTTTTGCCCTGAGTGTTTAGTAAACAGCCATGGATTTATTTCATTGGCACTATACGATAAATGGCATGGTTTGTAAAATAACATTAATGAGAAGCAATGCACATTGATTAGTTTATCATAAAGATAGAAATAATTCTGTGTGTTTCACATCAAACATCTCTTTTTAAGTAAAATATGTATTTCTCTATATCTCTATATATTTTCTGGGATAGGGGCGGTGGGATAGCCTAGTGGTTAAGACATTCGCTTATCATGCCAAAGACCCGGTTCGATTCCCCACATGGGCACAATGTGTGAAGCCTATTTCTGGTATCCCAGCCATGATGTTGCTGGAATATTGCTAAAAGCAGCGTAAAACTAAACTTACTCACTCATTCACTATTTTCTGGGATTGTCATGGAGAAAAGTGATAGTGTTTCAAAAACATTGACCTATACTTTGCACACTCATGCATTAAACATTCAAGCTTTCCATCCCTGTAACAAACGATGATCTCTTACTATGGTGGGCTCTTCTGTTCTGACTTTGCCATGATTCACCTGCAGGCCACTGATGGCCATCTACAGAATCAAGACATACAGGTTGTTGTCGGTCAGATCACAGATAGCAGTTTATGTGGATTAATAAAAAAAAATTGAAATGATAGATCACAGCCTTGGGTGAAATGGTGGTAGATTTAGATGATAGGAGGCGGTTCAGATTCTGTGACGTAGATTCTGGGTCCCGATCCAGGGAATATTTGTAACGTTACGAGCTATCGTAACTATACAGCTTACGACTGATGTAGCATCACAAACGCTTTGTGGATCAAGACCCAGGACAATACTATACTCCTTGAAAGAATTGAAGGTCCACCTGATTCTTTCAAATTACTTTGTCGTGACAGATTATAGAAAGGGTTTAAGAACGTTTTCACCATTTCTTCTTGTTAGTTTGTTTTGCCCGTCACGCTGAAGACCCAGGTTCGATTCCCCACATGTGTACAATGTGTCAAGCCCATTTCTGGTGTCCCCCGCCGTGATATTGCTGGAATATTGATGAAAGCGGCATAAAACTCCACTCACTCACTCATTCACTCTTATTAATTTGTTCTATCTTTCTGAGCCCTTATTGTAAAGAGCATTTATGGGCCATGGGCAACTTTTGATTAAACTGATAACTTTCAAGTGCATTAATCTTTTAACTATTCCTTATCTAACTGCCCTGTCTTGTATAGTTTCCCAGGTGACAGTAGCAGTGTTAAGGCACCACAGGTCAAGCCTTGGTATTAAGTGATACAAGAGTTACTTTTAATCATCCTCGATTCCATGATATATTGAAGGCCACGATTTGACAATTTGTCCCTTCGAACTTCAGTGTCCAGACAGTGACCTCTGCCTGTCGGTTAGGTCTTCTTGTTTCATTATCACTAGAGCCTCAGGTCAAATTTAATGATAGTTGTTCATCTGTCCAATCAGACATGACAGGCTTCTTGCTGCTTGTAGCATCTGTAATGATTCAACTTGAGCATGTAAAAGCTTCACCAAGTCCAGAAACCGATGGACAGGCACAAAAACTGGATCTTCTTCGCACACTAATCAATACTTCGGTTCCAGTGAGATCTGTGTTAGTCAATACTGTGACCATCTCACCTCAGAGGCATGGCTTCAGACAGAAAGGGTTCCCACTCTGATAAGGATCCAGCGATTACTCTGTTCAGCTCTGTGCTTTGGACTTAATTGCATCAAACAGCAATCACATGTAGTAGTGCATATTGTCTGTGTAATGGCTGAGTTTTACTGTCTCATTTCTAATCCCGAATCCTAAATGAGATTTCGGCATGTTTGAATCCTTTCATCTTTCTAATTGTTAGATTAGTTGTGTGCTGTTGGCCATAAACATCTCCATTAATTTGTCTTTAATGGTGTTAGTATTGTATGTGAGGAGGTAGTCAATGAATGCAAATTTGTGGACATTCCCAACCCGAAAATATTTTCAGTGCTACTTTGAATTTGCTTCAGTTTTTAAAAATGTGAAACTTTATTGTGTAAATTGGGAAAACAGTAACACCTATGTTGGTTTGTTGTAAGAGGCGACTATGTGTATTGGGTGGTCAAGTTCTTTAACTTGGTTAATAGTGTCCTCCACCCCACAGTGTGGATTGCTGTTCTCTATATCGGGGCGGTGGGGTAGCCCAGTGGTTAAAGTGTTCACACCTCAGACTGAAGACCCAGGTTCAATTCCCCAGATGGGTACAATATGTGAAGCCCATTTCTTGTGTCCTCCGCTTTGATATTGCTGGAATATTGCTAAAAGTTGAGTAAAACCCAACTCACTCACTCACTGTCAAGCCTTGGTATTAAGTGATACAAGAGTTACTTTTAATCATCCTCGATTCCATGATATATTGAAGGCCACGATTTGACAGTTTGTCCCTTCCAACTTCAGTGTCCAGACAGTGACCTCTGCCTGTCGGTTAGGTCTTCCTGTTACATTATCACTAGAGCCTCAGGTCAAATTTAATGATAGTTGTTCATCTGTCCAATCAGACATGACAGGCTTCTTGCAGCTTGTAGCATCTGTAATGATTCAACTTGAGCATGTAAAAGCTTCACAGAAACCGATGGCCAGGCACAAAAACTGGATCTTCTTCGCACACTAATCAATGCTTCGGTTCCAGTGAGATCTGTGTTAGTCAATACTGTGACCATCTCACCTCAGAGGCATGGCTTCAGACAGAAAGGGTTCCCACTCTGATAAGGATCCAGCGATTATTCTGTTCAGCTCTGTGCTTTGGACTTAATTGCATCAAACAGCAATCACATGTAGTAGTGCATATTGTCTGTGTAATGGCTGAGTTTTACTGTCTCATTTCTAGTCCCGAATCCTAAATGAGATTTTGGCATGTTTGAATCCTTTCATCTTTCTAATTGTTAGATTAGATGTGTGCTGTTGGCCATAAACATCTCCATTAATTTGTCTTTAATGGTGTTAGTATTGTATGTGAGGAGGTAGTCAATGTATGCAAATCTGTGGACATTCCCAACCCGAAAATATTTTCAGTGCTACTTTGAATTTGCTTCAGTTTTTAAAAATGTGAAACTTTATTGTGTAAATTGGGAAAACAGTAACACCTATGTTGGTTTGTTGTAAGAGGCGACTATGTGTATTGGGTGGTCAAGTTCTTTAACTTCGTTAATAGTGTCCTCCACCCCACAGTATGGATTGCTGTTCTCTATATCGGGGCTGTGGGGTAGCCCAGTGGTTAAAGTGTTCACTGATCAGACTGAAGACCCGGGTTCGATTCCCCACATGGGTACAATATGTGAAGCCCATTGCTGGTGTCCTCCACTTTGATATTGCTGGAATATTGCTAAAAGTTG